CCCAAAACGCATGACGATTCATATCATCTGGATTACGCATAGCTTCTCTGCGATTTACGCTCGTATATTTTAAGCGTAGCTTGGACCCTCCCCCCAATACATTTTGCTGGATCCGCCACTGTCTCCGAGGTCAATACTGTGGATGTTAATGGCATTGTAGTGAATTGTTTCAAATGCATAATAAGTCAACAGAAAAAAACAAACAAAACAAGAACACAACATCAAATATGGTGTTATGGTCGATAAAAACACTTCCACTGATATATGTACAAGATATTTGACTTCTGGGCATATTTTTATATTGTGTATAGAGATTGTCAATGAAAAAGTCGTATGCATTTAGGACAAATTATCCAATACACATCCTGCACTTATACGGAAGAAAAGGATCGTGGGATTGAAAATTGAACTATAGAGGGCGTTGGAGGGAGTCGCATACTAGTATTTTCCATACAGCTCTGTTCTAACATCCACTGTAAACCACTCCTATTTGCAATATGAAAATATAGAATGAAATTAGTAAAAAATATAGTTTCTGTTCATCACATGGTTAGAATTTAAAAAGGCTGGTATAGTAACATCAAGAGAAACAATCGATTTTGTAACCTGTGTAACTTCAACAAGATTGGGGTAGAAACTTATTACTTTTTTTACTGTGATCATCAAGACATATCCAGTTTAGGAAACCCCACTTTCTAGCATGAGAGATCAACCCCTAAAGTTCTGAGCATAGAAGATGAACCCCACAGTTCTAACATGGGAGACCAACCCCACAGTGTTAGCTAGCATGGAAGATCAGCCCAATAGTTCTTGAATAAGAAATCATCCTCATAGTTCAAGAATGGGAGATCAACCCAACAGTTCTAGCATGAAGAATCAACCCCATAGATCTAACATGGGAGACGAACCCCACAAAGTTGGCGTGGACAATCAACCCAAAACTTCTAGCACGATACTATTAGATACACCCCACAGTTTTAGGATAGGTGGTCAACTTCAGAGTTCTAGAGTGGGAGAGGAGCAACAATGCTACTACCATGTGAATGGAAAGGGGGATGTCCGTCAATTATCCCATAAACAAACATATGGTTCATATAAATATGGTACTTACGCAAAATAAATTGTACAATAGGGTGTTATAAAAATTGAAAATTTAATTGTGAAAAGAGAATAGAACAATATATTATTCTCATACAAAAGTCAAGGCTGTGCATAGAAACTAGTCTCTAAATTTATAATGCGTACTACTATGTTTTTAAAAACAGATATTTAGAGAGAAAAACGCTAGAAATATGTTTAAAAATTCATATATTCAAAGGGTAAAAAGTTTAAAAAATTTCCTCCAATGGATTTGGAGTTGTAATTCTATTAAAGCAGCACCGCCTGAGGTTTGGTGCTGCCATTAAATATTCGACACTAGATGGCGCCATACAACCCAATTTACGGGAAATGCCTTTGATTAAATTATATCTTGCAAATTTGAATATTAAAACAGTTCAGCACCATTTAGTTTGGAAAAGGCAGTTCTGAAAATAGAACTAAACATTTAATTATTTTCTTATAAAGTTTTAAGAGACAATGTGGATATATATACATAATCCATCTACAGTATATTGCATGCTAATTTACAGTTACGGCGTATGGGAAAGTAATACACACTGTAGTTGCATGCAGAATATTTTTCATTGAATGAGATAATGAATTACTTAAACATGCATGCGTTATTCTGATTCCATCCAATACTATTATATATGTTGCTATTAAACTAGTTTAGTTTATGTTAAATTATACGCCAGTGTATATCAGCATGCAAAATGTAATAGGACTATTTAAAAATATCTATCCGTGTTGCCTCGTTAATGTTATGTTAAATCAGCCACGTCAGTAACAATGCATACACATCAATACGATATACTAGCTTCATAACGTCTTGTGGTGGCTCTATTCGATATTATATTGAATTAGTCCAGCTAACTCTGAGAAGCTAGGTCTTTTCAGATTTCAGATAGTTTTCTTTACAAGAACTTTGCACTGAAAAGTTGGAATGGCAGTTTCATGTTTTTTGTGGTCATAGTTCTTTCATAGTTGCACCCTTCGATAAATCCAGTCGGTGTATTCTCTTAGTCGAACAAAAACATCAACGTCACCTTCCGTCTTTTCTGTTTTCAATCCAACTAGTTGCCAGTCATCATTCCCTTCTTTATTAACAAGAGGAGCTCCTACATTTTGCTCCACAGATGGGGTCAGTGTGTCATGCTATCCGCGTTCCCTGCGCATAAACTATATCGCTCACTGTAAAACGAGCATGGAACAGTTTCCATGGGACTGCGTCGAAGTTGGTCTTTTGGGTAGTAATCTCGTGAATCAGACCCCCAAATGGACATCACCGCTCTAGATTTATCTGTTTCTCGTGTGTTGCTTCCATAAAAACCACCAAACTTTAATGGTATTGATTGGATGTATGCGGTGAAGGGCATAGCAGATGACTGTAGTTCTATCAGCACGGGAGAATCCCGACCGCTCACCAAGGTTTCAAAGTCAAACGCCGAATTGGGGGCATACACGTTTCTGATGCCGAAATTCTTTTCGTTTCTTTCAAACCCAAAAAGATCACTGTTTTTTCCTAGCTTGACGATAATTTTCTGAGGCTTGAGAATGAGGTCTGTTGTACCGTAGTTTCCGATAGGCTGCCAATCGTACATAAGAAACTTCTTGTCGAAACAGCTCTTTGTGGTGATGATCCATTTGGCCCCAATTATGGCCGCGTTACAGAGTATGGTGTTTGACGCGTCATCCCATACCAAGGCATGCCAAGGCCACAGAGTCGGATAGTCCACAATCCTGAAAGATACAACGTAAACGGAATAATTAGCTACAACTCCTGGTTTCGAGGTTACTGCTAAATTCATTTCAAATATGGTGAACCAGAAACACGATACTATTCAATATGTGTGCATCAGTGTTATATATCATATATACACAAAAACATTTATATAGTGGTATGCACTGCATTGCTGTAATCGCCCGGGTCTGAACAGCAACATTACTTTAATACGCCGATAAAACTATAATTAAATACAAATTATATTTAGATGCTACTTTAATAAATACAGCCATGTGTGCACTGTTCCCATGATGCATCTTGTATGCGTACAAAAACAGAAGACTCGAATTAAGAAAGATGCATCATGGGAGTGCCGCCATATTACGAGCTCACTTTTTTTTTACACTTTACCTTCAATTAAATTTTCAAACGAACGAACAAATATTTCCCATCGGTAAACATCCTAATGTGCAATGAACCGTAAAATGCCCGTTATCAAGGTACTCCACCAAACAGTACATCTATTTACAAACAAATGAGGATATGCCTAAAAATAGACATAAATTAAGGAGCCATCTAAAGAACACTTGTTGGCGATAAACGTAGTACATTTTATTGTTCATGGCCGGTTACATATGGTCAACAAATACGCCGATAATGACGGTTCCTTTACACTGTAATGAGAGGCTGGTATGTTATCGACTTTGACAAATAGGTTCATTGATAAAGGCCAAATTTAATGTTTCCAGATAGCGTATAAAACTTATCTGTATATCTAAATTCACTGCAAAAAGGAGTTTAACAATCAATTTGATGTTTCTATCAAAAGATAAGTTCTCGTAAAAAGCAGTTATATACATACAAACAAAATGTAGCAAACACAAAACATAATTTCTGAAGGCAATAATTTCACACAGTATACGTTTCAGTTTTAACACATTAATTAGGGGTGAATTAGGAGATACTATCATAACGATGATAAGAATGTACGCATAATCTTATGATTATATCAAATAATTATATTCCACGGTCAACTAGCAAAGATAGTACACATATATTCACAGAGGATACAGATAACCACCTAAATGTTTTTTCTTCCAAATGAAAACTGCCGTGTTTAATGTTTTCAATAGCCACTTGGACGAGTTCATTATTTTTCTCACATTGGTGGGGCAGGTTCAGACAGGGGTTACCAAGTATGTTTGCTAGGAGTTATTGCTTGTATTTAATAATGCTTCATTTGCATTAATCGTAAAACATCGATAATATTATTTTGCTCTGAATATTCTGCAGAAGTTTTAAGATTTTAAAATTATTAAACCCACGTTTAACCCCCATTCAATGTAAAAATTAAAAATAATTAATAGACAATTAATTATAATTCCCAAACGATTGCTTCATTTATAATCACATCTAATGAAGGCACCACCCCTCCCAACCCACTACCATCCCAACCTCTACCCCTGACCCACTAGCACGTGCCACTATCCCATCCGGCTCACTAACACGTATCACCACCTCTTGACACCCATCCCACTAAATTAGACCCTGCCACATGGTACAATTTGTCTAACACTAAATACGAATAGTTTCTGAAATTGATTATATAGTGCGACTTAAGACGGATGCGGGTGTTAGTGATATGATGCACCTTGACCGTTTGAACCACACAGCAGTATGTATTATTATCCGACCTACATACACTCAAGGTTTTGTAATTAAATGACCAAGAATTGTTTGAATGCTGACCCAGAGTAAGATGAACTGTAATAGAATAAAACATATTGGAAATAGGACACCTTTGACGTTACTTAAAAGTATTAGCTGCGTATTTTTGACTGAGCATTGAACGATGTTAGTCCTAATACGGTAGATGCGTGTTATCACGTTTGCTATCAATGTAAATGATGTCATTAAACCAACGTGTGATAGACGGCTTGGCAGACCTCGCATTCCATTAGAAATAAATATTTAAACGTCAAAAGGCATACATTTTAGACTAAATAGGGTATTTGTTAGTCAGGTTGGTCCACGTTCTACACGCAACACGTGTGATTATGTCAGGATGGCGGCATAAACAAAACACAGTTCGGAACGCTCGTAACCCAGGTGCATATTTCACACGAATGCTGACACAGCAGCATAACACTGTGTGCTTTTCATTAAAACACAGAAGTAGAGTACGCATACGAGGTATTATCATTCCAAATCAATCATCGGTAGTTGCCGCGGTATGGCGATACAAATCACGTAATAAGGTGTTAAATAACGACATATATCAAGCTATCATCCGACATACTAACCAGTGTCGTATTATGTATTATATGGCACTTTCAGTTTAACTCCCCATAGACGACAATATAAAAGTAGAGCCTAGTTCACACATAGAACTCACAATTTAAAAAATAAATAAAATAGCGATTTTTCTAGTTTTTTTAAAAATAGTAAACAGCATGATCACAGGATCGAAGCGATTTATCTACATTGGTATTGGCAATTAGACAATTATTATTATCATTAGAAAAGCTGTCCTATCTTACCGAGTACTCACTCAAAATTTAACAGTACGCCATTTGATTTTCGCTGAAATCCCATTCATTTCGAAGGCTTTCTTATTCTGGTATCACAATGAATACAACATTTTGAAATACAAGCACGTCACTTTCTTGCAAAAAGTGGCTTTCACGATTTAGAGGGTTACATTCGTGTCTAAGTGACCCAGCGCCTCGATACACATTATAGTGTAAATTTTCCTGTTGAATTTATAGATAACGATTTTCATATTACACCCACAGCCCCGTCAATATTACATCACAATTACCTACATCGTTGTTGGAATGGTATTCTGAAGTTCCAGACATTGAACTCAATATAGTACTACATGAAGACATGCATGATGTGATATACTATATACCTGATATTAAAACCACCTGGTGAATGATCCTTGGGTATCACAGATCAAACATTGTGCCAGCGCATATGAGCAGTAAAACATGATTACATCGTTTGGCTATCTAAGTAGTCTGTGTAATTTAGTAGCATAATAACCATGTACTGGATAGCATTCCTGCGTGTATTATCAACAATAATATTACTTTTCTCACATCTGCTAAATGCCTTTCAACACACGTGGTTTATGACCTTGTTTACATCGTTACTCTAGGCAAGCTATGCGTTAAGACATGTATATAGATTTGTCACTGTCCTATAACTTTTCAATGGTCCGGTCGATCATAATCATGCACAGATGTTGTCTGTTAACATTTCACCGGCGATCCAAATATACATTTTAATTCTTGAAACGATTTTTAACGATTTTAAATCGCTGTTTCAAGCATAGAAATCATAAACACAAATCATCACATGCATTTTCTCAATAGCGATACCTCACCAACCCATACTCCGAGTTTGTTTACGCCTATGTCAATCTTGGTCGTTCTGCATTCCATTAACCACGCTAACGGCGGCAATTGTTTATGTCTGGTTTAATATGGTTTGGATTAACAAATTAATTAATTAAAACAACTTAACAATCACACACCTCTTATCTTCGTGGCCATAGTTAGCTGGCAGTTGGCGATTGTTTGTAATAACACGTACAGGTTCCTTCTGAGTCTCTGATGAATGTGACTGAGCTGAGGACGGTGGTGTCGGTTGTGACTTGTCTGATGACTCGAATTGGTCATAAGAAGGGGGCAGCTTTTGTTTTGGTTGTTGTGTCACTACTTTTGAGGAAGTCTGAAATACATTGGATGATTTTTGTCGATGGACAGCTTAATTCGCACGTGGTGTCATCCGCATTCAATCCCTCAAGCTGAAAGTTATAAAAAAAGGGATTTTAAAAATGTGATGTGCGTAAATGTCAACATACTGATATCTGATACAAATGTGCAACAATCAACAATACGGTTGAATAGTAAAGCTCACCTGTTGACCTTTCAAGTATTCTGGAGCAGCACACTGCATTTCGTCTAATGTTGTAATCTCTATGTTTGCATCTTTGAACAGTTCTAATATATTCTTTATGTGGCAATCACATCTCCATGGGTTACCTGCCAAATTTACAGAGGCTTGGTCAGCAAGAGCCACAGTGATATAACCTCTGATTCTGTCCAATTCGTTGCCATAGAGATCTAGTTTTACAAGTTGTACTTGGGGATACAGTGGCATAGTCAATGTGTTGATGCGGTTATTGGCGAGCAATAAAATTTTCAAGCTATGCATCGTGGTGAACATTTCCGTTGGTAGCAACTGAAGATTGTTGCCATTCAAATTAAGTTGCTCGACACCATGAATGTCATACAACACCGTTGGCGAAATTTCCTCCAATCGGTTGTTTTCTAAGTTCACAATTTTTATCTTCTCCATTCCCGTGAATGCACCTCGAGACAGTTCTTCAATGGCATTGTGTCCTGCATCAAAGATCTCAAGATTATTTGCCGCTCTGAATACTCCATCATCTATCTTTCTTAGTTGGTTGTTGTTGAGGAACAGGGTTTTTAAGTTCATCTGCCGACTAAAAGTATCAATGTCAATATTTGCTATGCTGTTATAACTCGCATCTACAAGTTGCAATTCGTGTAGACCATGAAATATTTGGGGACCAAAATTTTGAAGCTTGTTGTTTCTCAGATATAACCAGGTAATTTTTGGGGATCTGTTCAATTCTTCGCCACTTAAGTCGGTGATCTCGTTGTTGTCAAGGTATAATGTGTGAAGCATATCTAGACCAGAGAGAAGTTCATGTTCAATTCTCGCAAGACGGTTATTGGACAGAGTTATGATTTGCAGTTGTAACATGTCTGCAAACGCATCTGATTGGATCTCAGCAATTTGGTTAGAGGATAAACGAAGTTGAATAATGTTTCTAAGTCCAGAAAATGTATTCGATGAAATCGTATCAATGTTGTTGTTTTCCAAATTAAGTTGAACCAGGTTTGCTGTGTGTTGGAATGCCAGATCGTCAATTTTTGAGATATTATTATAGGAGAGGTCAATTCCATACAAGTTCTCCTGACTCCACAACATCGTGGAATCGACATCATTGATCTGGTTGTTGGAAAGGTCAATGGATCGTAAGTTTGGTAAATAATAGAACACATAATGGGACATTTGAGCGATCCGGTTGTCCTTCAAAGAAAGGGTTTCTAAGCTGTCCATACCAGTGAAGAACTCGTAAGACAGTAAGTCAATACGATTACCATCGAGAATCAATTCTCTGAGCTGCCGTAAATCCTTTAGCCACTCTGGGGAGAAGGATCGGATCCTGTTATGTGCCAGATTCAAGACTTCCAAGTTTGGCAAACTTTCAAAAATCGAGTCAGTCAAAGCAGTTACTAAATTATTATTGATTAAAAGCTTTCGTAAATTCGGCATGAAGTAAAATATCGTTTCTTTGACACCATGGAGACGGTTTTCAGACAGGTCTAATGTTTGAATGCTTGACAAGTTCTTGAACACACCCGCTGGAAGATCTCTAATACGATTGCCGCGTAATGACAGGATCCTCACATTTTGTAGATCATCAAACTCGTCACCTTGGAGACGTTTTATTCGGTTTTCACTAACATCAAGATGCAGAAGATTTGTCATGCCTTGAAATGAATCAATTGGTATAGTCTTTAACTGACCAGGTCTTTTTACTATGCCACGAGACGCCACGGGTGTCAGAGATTGGTATTCTGGTTGATCACTTTGTATATTGTTCCTTTTCTTCTTTGATCCAATCATCAAAATATAATTCACATCTACAGAGAAATTAGATATTGAATCAACGAAGATAAAAGTATGGCCAGCACAGTTGTGTTTATTGAAAATTTGTTTCCTTAAATCTGGAAAACAATCTGGCTTCACTCTAGGGTTATAATAGTCAGATGAACCATGCATTAACTGTCTTTGCCATTGAATGACGGTAAGTTAATCACGCTTTCAAAATTGCTATAATTCCTCGTTAAATTCTTGCCTCTATGAAAGTTAAAATCACTGCATTAAAATGTTGCCATTATAATAGCTCTCTGGGACATTAACTTTTTGCTCCTCAGTTTATTCTATCCTACATTTTCCACACGAGTTAATTCGAAGAAAGACACATGTATGTTTGCTTATTGAACGAGTACGTACACAAAATGTTGGGCGTGCATTTGTACATTATTTATGGTAATGCACCAGTAGAACAATGTCATTGTTATTGTTCCATTGGAGACCAAATTCCCTTGGGGTGATCAAGTATACGATATTTATTATCTAGGCATTGTACATTCAGTGTGGTTAACGTTTTGTCAAATACGTATCTTCTTAAGGTGGTAATAAAGTTTAACAAATGTTTGCTTTTAAAAAACAACAGTTACGAAGGTACTTAAATAGATTGTGTTCTCCGTTGTTGAATGAGGTCATTGAAATAAATATTTCGTTATTTATGTGTTATAAGTTTCAATGTCTCAGTATATAAAACTTTTGGCGATGCATACAAATGTCTTACCTCGTCTTAAATCGCCACTTAAATCAGTTGGTATGCGTGATCTCCCAAAACAAGCCACAGCCATCTTCCCATCAACCCAGTTATACTTTTCCATGTACTCGTGCACCTGGTCTACATGTGGCGCTTCTTCATGAGATACGTGAAGACAATGGCATTGTTTTGGACATGTATCCTCGAACGAGGCTACGAAACATACAATAGCCAGGACGAGGATGGTCTGGAAGGTCAACATGATTGATCTCCTGTTGGAAAAATATGTAAATATTATTTGTAGTTTCATCATGTGTGTATGTAGAAGGGGGCTGGGGTCAGCAGGTACAAGTTACAGGAAATAAAAAAGGCATTTTACGTTTTTTTACAGAAAATAAAATGAAAGTAAAAAATAGGTTTTTATACTTTACAGATAAAGCGAATTCCTAATAACATTTTTATAATATATTTGATAATTTGTGTTTAAGAATCAAAATTGGAAATTGCGTACGAATTGCAAGATTCAATGTGGAAAATGCTTCATACTCTTACAAAAAATAAAATCTTTGTACAAATTACGGACGAATAAAGTAGCTGATTACATTTTTCACCTTGCCCATGATTACGTTTTTTATTTATTCAAATTACATTACATTATTACGAAAATAAAAACAATTTATTACAGATAACGAAAATAGGAATATAAATAGTAGTCACAATGAGCTGATATGCGATTGTTGGCGTTTGAGAGAGGTAATGTATTTCGCAGAATATTATAAATGTGTTATCAATCATCATAACAGTGAATCTTGATCACTCGGCCTAGTGGCAGGGAAGCAGGGGACCCACGAACATCTGAGATTGACAACACGTATATTTGCGCATACATAGGGAAGGATGGATTGACAGACAGGAACAATCAGTCAATGGGCATTCGTATGTTACTAATATAAGAAGTTCATTAACAGATTTTATCTTAGTTTTGAACAGTCCACCCGGTATACATCATTGACACTATTGTTATTGCAAATGTGTGGATGTGGTCTAGCCAACGGTCTCGTAGACTAGACAGGGACCTTGTTTTACGGGTACGTCTCCTTGATGCCAGGTACGTGTTCATAAACTATCGCCCACGCATGCAATTCTTGTTCTGCATCCCATTGCCATAGTAGCGTAAATATACCTAGGATGGATAAGTTGATGAAAATCACTGGTACATTTGCCACAAAGGAGGCGGCAGAAAATACCCCATGGTGCTTGTATGGTTGGCCATATCACGGAGCTCCATGGTCTTAGTAAATTTTTAATACAATAAATACGAGTGTTGAAAATTATCGTTGTCATACAGAAACGGCACACACTTAGAGAGGTTGCTTACAACGAGAAGTCAATGATTTCAGAAAACGAACAAAAATGTAATTTTCACACAAATTATGAAAAAATCTGCTCCACCGATTGCATACAAACGAAGTTGAAAATCTGCATTATGGCTACAAAATAAACGGAAATTGAACAACAATAGAGATGTATTGTGGTAGAAAATAGTACAACACGTCATGTGACAACCCGTTTTACTCTGTTCTAACAAAGCCAGGACTCTCAGGTTGTCCGTGACTTGGTCCAAAGGCGCGTTTTCCACGAGGTGATATTTAAACAATTCAACATGTGAATAACTGGAAGCCGGCCAGTTAACCGCTTCAAGAACTGTCATTGACATCAGCAAAGCATATCACCAGGCGTTTATAAACAAATTGTATCGGCTTTTGAATCTCTAAATCTCTATGACCAGGATATGAATGTTGCTTCAACTGCCATAAACCTAAACAACAACACGGAGGCAGTATCTTTTAACATGCACCTGGCAACAACAAAAACATAGTGCCACTAGTGTTAGGTTTCCCTCGTCGAAGTACTATAGTATCTGGAGTTTGTGAACAGTTCGCAGTATCATGCTTTATTTTTTAGGTATTTTGTTTTCAAATCTAATTGCAAACTACATAACCTCAATGCTCAATACACCTTCAAAATAAACATACCAACAAAATGTGTATAGTTATCATTGAATAAGTACACTGTATTGCTGTGGAGTAATAAATTGCGCAAACCACGACGTTTGCTTCCCGGGGTCCCATTTGTGATAAATCTGTACAGAAAATGTCAATTTCTCCGTACTTTTCTCATCTCATCTCTATCGGCAAACTACTAAGCCACGTTCCATTATCATGGAGGGACTATGGTCAAGACAATCTGTTTACCTCATTATCTCATTAATTATGCATGGTCCCACTCTCACTTGAAAATAATATAATTCGTCACGTGAGAATATTTCAAGGTTTGTAGCCTGCCCAAAATGTGCCAATGTATATATATTAAAGCTGCGATACTATCGTATTTGAAATGTCAAACCAGTTACGAATTACTAAAATGAAAGGTTCGATAAGAACGACACGCCTTTTGCAAGCATAGTAAGTCCTGATATCTGATTTCACGATATGTAAAAAACGAGGCCATGTAATTATATTAACACACATAACGCAGTGTCTGGATAGATATTCAGTTTATTGCCGGTAATAGTTGGAGTAGTATAATGTGTCGTGTGCTTAAGAGTACGATAACAAGAGAGGAAAACTGACTGGCCTGGTGAGGGTTACACATTACATTACTATAGATGACTTATTCGAATTGAATTCAGTAAACATCAAACGTATATACCATATGCAGGGATTGTCAGGAGCTTTGAGCTCTACTCAAGCGTACACAAACATACTACTAGTTACGCTTTTGGGCGTACTGCTCTGTGTCGTTTTCGGGGCAAAGAGTAAATAAAAACCACGCCACACACGTTGTTTGTAATTACTGACGTGATTGCGTTTTTTTACGTCTACCATTTTAATAATTTCAATGTGTATTACAATAAGACCGAATAAATGTATATTATCCTCGACCAATAGCCATAAACACATATTTTAAATAATGATCGGCAAAAAACGACCGTCTTGGTGATATTTTTCAAAAGTGCATATCTTTACACCTATGACGTAATCGCGGATAACTGAGAGTGTTGATAACATAACCTTTTTCATGACGAGGTGACATTTTTCGTCTATAATCACATCAGCAGGGTTAAGTCCACGAGCAATGTTTTTCTAAAGTTAATTTGTTTATACAACTGTGGGAAACGAAAACATTTGTCTAAGAGGTGTGTGGCAATCTTAAACACAGTCTGTGTAAATTATATTGAAACACGTACTATATTGGAGTATCGTATGTCGAGGTTCCGTCTAGAGACTAGTACGTTAACTTCAGTTGCTTTTTACATGTCGGTATTGATACCAGCTTAAACTTCACTACCTGTCAATAAAGTCAATATGTCAGCAGTGATAAACTCAAGATCACGTGTTAACATTAGTGTTTATTAAAACAATTTTGAAGAGTACGTTTCAGCCACATAGAAACTTCGTACAGTTTGCCCGCTTTCGGCTCCCTATAAGCCTGAACCTGGAAGTTCAAAGAACGACATAATTTGTACTGCCGTAAGCGTTTTTCTAATAATTCCCTGGTTTATATGAATAGTGATATTTTGTTTGTTCTAGCCAAAAGTCTTGATCAGATTCTTTAAAATCTGACTTTGGGTTTCACGCGATTAAGAACGCCGGGGAATGGGGTTGCACTACTTTACATACGATATATGTATCAAGTGCAGAAAATACTACTATGTGAAAATCAATTTACTGAAGTATTCAGTGAAATTTATACACAGGTAAAACTGAAACGAGAGCACGAGAAATTCTTTCACGTCGAACCTCTCCAATCAAACACTCAAACTGCGATAATGGTCTTTCCATGCCAGGTAATGCCCTGGTGATTTTCGTTACTTGTCTGCCGTCTGAAAATCCTAGACTTTTCGCGGGAAATGAACACCATTTATGAGTACCAACACATTTCCGATATGATATCTCGGGAGACTCGAGTCACTAGCTAATCCAGACAGAAATGTTCCCATCAAAGCTGGCTGCCCATTGGTCAGTTTTTAGTGTACACATCGACCAATGATATTTAGCAACATTAAAAAAGAATCAATCATTGAACGACTGTAAAAGTGATTTAAACACGTAGTACTCTGTATGCGTTGGCAATATTAATATAAAACAGAGATCCGCCGACGGTAATACATATGACTACTTGCAGCAAATCAAGTTTAACACTTATAATGGTGGTTGCACGCAAATGTACGCTTCAGTGTCATTCTATTGGAACATAACTCTCCCGTCTCCCCATGAAAATGTTGAAAAAGTCGCTGAGCAGATATAGACACTGCAAATAGCCTTCGGTATGTCTCTGGGAAGTCTGTTTGACGCATATATTATTGAGTTGGCCCCACAAATACGTCGGTATGTTGACTAAATGTCGACAACTGTACGCCAATTAAGTGTGTTACACCACAATCCAATAAGAAATTCACAAGTGTCTATGCCATGATTGTACGTTACATTTTGAACATATGCTAGGATACATCGAAATTGTCGGTGCGATCCTCTGCGTCCACAAATATTTGCTGTGTGCATTAGTCGGGACCTTGTACAGGTAAACTGGGATCCAGCTGTCTCGACAAAGATACACAGGTACAACACGTGTGCTGCAGGTGGGTTTGTGATTTCGATGACACTCCCACAAATGTGTGTACGGGAATTGAAGAGGGTTCCTCATTTCGAGACATTGTGATCATAGCTATACACATAATATATTCATGACTCGTCACAAGTACGTGCTAACACACTCTCTGTACAGACACGATGTTTAGGTGGTTGGGGGAAAGATGATTGGATAAACCACGTGACATGTTTTTATTTATTCGACCGAGCATTATTGGCGACCTTCAATGATGGTGGCCTGATATCCCACAATGCGGCTCTCTCCTCGATTGCTTTTTGCCTTTAGTGTTATAAGGTGTCTTTACATACAACGAGACCACTAGTGTCGACAAAGAGTACGTGTGTACTAAATAGTGTACAATAACGCGCTTACAAATCCACACCACACTGCTATACATTCAGACCGACGTGATTGGCGGATGGTACAGTCACTGGCATTATTGTCATTCCGCTAAAAGTGCTGAGAACCCGAGTCATTGCTTTGTAAAGCATACTCAGTGAATATTGGTGATTGCCCTTGTCCGCACACTGGTTGTTCAACAAAACCACACACATGATACGCACGCGCATAGCCACTGATTGGTAGAATTATCAATGGATTGTAATCTCATTTAAAATAATACAAAGAAATAAATTATACAGATTACCCTTATATACACACGCGCGCGCGTGAGCGCACGCACACGCACCTTTATAGTGATTACTCACGTTCCCAGTCTCATCTTAAAGGCCAATTTATTTTGGAGGCGTATATGCAATGGGGAATCAAAAGACGTCAAAACTGAAAGGGTCTTTAAAATCACTCCCTCCAAAACAAGCAAACACACACCTTCCCTAGTTATTAACCCCCGTTCCTAGTATCATTTCAAATGAAAATTTTGCTTCGAAACGTATATGCAAAGCAGAACTAATGACGTCACATGGAGGACCGAGAGGGTCTTTAAAATAAAAAGTCAAGTCAGTGAAGCCAAAATGATTTTATAGATTCCACTGCGAGGCTCATCTATAACTGCACAGTGTTTGCCAGGCCTGTCAATTGTGTGATCTGAGAAGACAATACACGGGAGATAAAAGATCCCTGGATAATATATGTTAAGAGTGCTTGTCTGCAGCGGCTGTCTCGATTACTACCTTTATTTTGTCAACTTGTCTGCATTTGCAAAGATTTGAGTCTAGGGTCTATGACACAACACAGTTGCTCTTTAAAGTGATAACAAACTTACTCTGTTCGTCTGCTTGTAATCAATTATTGTGTTAGAACGTCCATGGCCTATCTATGCACGGTGTCCGGAAATGCATGTCTAAGTTGTACTTTACGATAGTACTGTATTGTTTTGCACAGGCTGTGTGGGCGGAATAACTACACGAGTAATTGGAGAAGCCCCGGCCTACACAAATGCGTCTGTACAATCAGAGCCGGACGGGCCGATACGTTTCAGACTGTGGCTTTTTAGATATCAAAAAAGAGGATTGTCAAACTTTTTTTATCGAAATTTAAATAGAGAGAAGGCGAAGCCGCCTGGAGCCTGCACGGTATATTTGTTGTCGCTAACAGATTTTGAACAGACCACAATGACCTTATAGTCTAGCCGGCGTCCCGGTATTCTTTCAAGGGTCTCTTAGTACCTGCTCAAATCGCGGCCAGTCTAAAAATAAATCGACACTCCGAAACGGTAAAGGACCATGTAACTTGGAAATCTGACACAGCCATATTGCACTAAACAGAATACGAGTCTCAGTGCCTAAGGCAGGGAATTTTATGAGAGGATATGTGTAGTACACAGTAGTCAACCAATTGTAACTTGAATTTAGATGTGGAATCCAATTGGATTTTTTGCAGACCTTTCATACAAAAGCACGTACTTGTGCACCTGGGGCGTTTGACAATATTTCAAAGCAGTTCAACAAAGTGACTTTTCACAGGGTCATAGGCCTTGACGGTGTTTAGCAGGCGATAAACTACCGGCCGTGTAGAGTTACCGAGCCCGTCATTGAGGGAACTGCGGCGTCTTTGTTTAGACGTTATGCCTCTCACACACGCGAATTGCTTCTAACTCGGTATATTAAATAAAATCAATAAACTTAACAAATCAGTTACACATTTCTAACGACTGCTTGCTTAGATTTACTGATATAAAACAATGCATATTTCATATTGTGATAACATCGGTTATCGGTCTATACAGCTACTTGCCAAATTTTATTCGAACAATCACAACCACTCACAGTCCTGTGGACCACTGTTTAGCCGGTAAAGACGATGTGTTCGCACGCAAGCAAGAAACACGTACACGTGTAAAAATATCATACAAAGAAATATAATTGTTCTCTTACTTGGATACTGTGACCAACAGATCGTCGACTACAGCGTGGTGAAAATGTGTGCAATAATCGGCTACCGAGCGTTCAAGGTGCTGTCTGTTTGTTGCCCGGGTAGAACTCACTGCTTATTTCCGGTCACTGTAGTTCAGAGTGAGTGTATGTTGTGGTGTCTCCTGCACACTCATTCATGAAATGGATCACGAGTCGCATTTATAATGTTTATTATGTATTCAATAGCAGTCAGTCAATGACTGCCCTGTCAAATACTAGTAACCGACCAGAGGGACGATCATAAACTGCTCCCATATATAAACATTCTTACGCCCTGTAAAACAAACCAATTCTAAATAATCAAAATTTGAATATGCTTGTTTGCTTAAGTTTAATACATTATAAAATGAACCGCCAATATTTTGCTGGAAACTAAAGAACACGGCATGCCCCCCTTATAGAAGTGACATGCCCCTATAGGTTATTACAAATTTAGCAAATGGAACATTCCTGCTATTCCATATATTGTCAAAACCCCGAGTTGAGTCAAGGACGAGTAGAGGTGTATATCTTCTCAGACTTCCTATCATACAACAAGAACACCGACAATACAAAATGACGAGGCATGCAGACACTTTGACATTACTACACTAAACATGTTGACAACAATCTAGTTTTAATGATAATGAAGGTAAAAACACGAAAGCACCTGGCGGGCTCAATTCGGCTGAATACTACACATTTTGCTAGAGGGGTTCTAGTGTGCGAGCCTTTTGAAGTATAGCAGATATATCTCTGCTGATAGCATGATTGTGCGTCAAACTTGTTAAACGAGTGACTAACTAACAAATATGGCACGTCAACGACCCATGTTGTCATACAGTACGATAAACATGTTTACAGACATTAAACCTCAGTATCTAGGTTATCACAGTGAATAGAGAGACCACTCGTCCATTTTATTTAACAATATCAGCAACGTACGTCATTACTTTCACAAATGTTTCCATGTGAATACATCTCTGCGTCTGTCTGTGTCACATGTAGGGTTACATATGTTGATTTGACCAGCATGCATACTGTTAAACTTCAAATATGTCATCTCTGTCCGTCACACAGACATTCCATAACAATGGCTGGGTCGCCAGACACGTTATCGCAATGCTGCCGACCACTAACGGATGTGGCTCACTGATGCACATTAAACTTGTTTGACTCCGTGAATTTGTCGTGAAAATGTCTGGTTTTATATTAGAATGAAGTCTATGAGAGGGTCGGTGGTTCGTATACACGAGTACATTATACCATGGAGGTAAAAAGATCTATTTTCACCCCATGCTCATCACTTGGGAAAAGCATACAAAGTTACCTTCCATCTCATAGCTTTTCATCCACGTGTTATGCGCACGCATTGCGACCCCACATTCCAGTACAATAAGTCGGTAACCATGGAAACTAAAGAGTCACGTAGATCGCACACGCTACTGTGTCACCATCCATCAACTTGAACGTATTCGGTTTATCTCTTTGATGTAATTTGATTACCATATTAGTACGATGGTAATCTCAGTTGATGCCGCTCTAATTGTTGATGTGTTTACTTAACTGTAGCCCTCCTTAATACTGCTATTGCTTCTCAGCATGGCGTATGTTAATAAGACTAAAAGCCATGATGCTCTCTCAGACCAGGGGGTATAATGCCGAGCTCAGTTTTACGTTGCACTATTTCTTGATATGTTGCCAGGGTTAATCGATGACAAACTTTTTACTAACACTATATATATTAAAAAAAACGTCGAATAGTTGGGACCCCGCCAGTCGTGCACGTGCCTCTCAGTGGAATACATGTCAACACACGGAGGGTCTTAAGTACAGCAAGGACTTCTTGGCGGCTATTCAAAATAAACTTTTTTCTTGTATTGGAATTTGATCCTACTATTGTAATTACTAAAACATTGCCTTGTTTAACCATCTGGGCCGGAGAAAGTGTTCTTCCAACCGTGAAGTGTGAATTTCTTTCCTGTTTGTTTTCATAACAACTACTAGGTTTCATACATACGTCTGGTTTCCTAATGAGTAATGAGGGGTGATTATTCAACGAGATGAAATTGTAATAAACTTATCGTTTTGTCGTTCTATCCTAAATTTAGGTGACAATGAACTGTTATGGTATAGTATGGTCGAGGTATGGAGATACCATGAAGTGAAATGTACCCACCATACATGACGCAAAATCATATGCAAACCATTTTCCTGATGAGTCGAAGAATAAACCTGCCAACAAACCAGCTGCTCTCGGATTGGTCTGACTGTTAAAAATTAGGGTTTGGTAGCCAATCGGACGCAATCTAGGAAGTAACTCACATTGACTCACGTCCTATCAAAGATATTACAGTATATGACTCAAATAGCTGCAGCTATGCAGCCTGAGCTTTGCCTGTGCCAAATATCAGACTATAGAATTGAATCTTTATTCATAAACACATTTACATATTCTTGATATAACAAATAAATAAATAAATAAATAAATAAATAAATAAATAAATAAATAAATAAATAAATAAATAAATAAATAAATAAATAAATAAATAAATAAAATTTAAAGTTCCTACAATACAGTAGCCTAAATGACCATGTTTAACCTCAGGGGAACAATTTTGGCGACGATGGGATGGGCGCATAAACCGAATTATTTCCGTTAGCAGTATGGCTAAATAAACTTGAATTAATTAAATTTCTTTTCTTTGAAAAAATCGAGCATTTGCACATTAAAAAGATAGTGAATCATGAAGAAGAGCATTCACATTCCTGAAACCATGGTTACTTCACACTTTCCAATTTGATACTACTACTACTAAAGCTTAACACTTCTATTTTAAGATATTTTTTTGCTAGATTTGCTATTGGAAATGGCATATCACAAGATCCGACACTTTGTCCATGTAATAATAATCTATCTGAATTCATCACGTGACATATATACAAAATATGTACACGTGACATCATAGGATGACGCAACAAACGACAGGTGATGTGACTGTCGAATCAAAATGCCACAGGGCGATTATGTTAACGCAGCAGGGGTGGCGACCTAATTCATGATTGTCACGGGTTTGGAATGTTGCCAGGGAGTATAGCGACATGTTAACACTATTATCTATTACGTAGGCGTTCTCTATGGGTTCAGTCATGCTTTAATAAGTAAGTTAACATACAATGGTAACGAAAAATAATACCGATGACGTGATAATGGTAACAGCAACACTCTACATAAACTAAATAAACACAACATGTTGTTAATCTATGTTCACTGTTTTCATCAAGTCAACTTACTGTGTCTTTCAATCCTAGGACATATGGAATCGTCAATTAATTAATATAATCACACGTATTACATTATCATAAAATAAGATTACTAGTATGTGTATTCTACACCCAATCAGAATGTATAATGGCGACTCATATATCAGAAGAAAGAGTGAACAGTACCAGTTAATTCAAATAAAATTAATCGCGACTGCGAAGCTCAAAACTCATCCAATCGCAATACAATCTTATTTACATGTAGTAAATAAAATACTCAATAAACACATTTAATTTTATAAGTTTGAAAGTAAGACTATCTGAACCATATATCAACTTGGTTGTATGATCTGTAAGTTGCGTGTCACGTGATCTAACCAAACTTACAACACATGTACCTTTTACACATAGATGTTCACTATATGTGAAATGAATACAGGGTGGATCATTAAGAACCAACCAGAATGACGATTGTGAGTTCAGTAGATATTTGGATACATTGTATTTAAATAGTACGCAGTGAATTATTCAAGTGAATATACCTTTCATATTATATGGCAACTTTTCAAAATGTTTAGGTACAATAATCGTTTATTCTGTCTAAGCGTCTCGGGCGATGCTTCGTAGTACGTGTCAAAGCACAATGACGTCAGTACACGACATTTCTGCCCGACCAATGGAGTGACCTTGAGCACAGTCCCTTATCGTTTAGTTTTTCGCATACGCAGGTTGCCCGGAAGTGACGTTCAGGAAGTGCGTATTGCTCATCTCGGGACAAAAGCACCAGAACCATATTGAAGAACTTTTTAAGTTTATTGCCCACTTCGGAAGTTTGTGCTATATTACCCAGAATAGGCTGAATCAGGTCTCTGCGTCAAAGTGACTGTACTGAAATGTGTTCACCTCACTGACATTTATATTTATGTGATATATGAGGCTGTTCCAACAAATGACAAAACTACAGAAAGTGTGTATTGATATGTATCATACATTATAAATATTTTATATATATGTAACACGTTATAAATAAGGCCACTGAGTAAACTCGAACACCGTTCTATGATCATGTTAATCACCATTACACAACGAGAGCTAATAGTTAGATCACGATAACAACCTAAGATACCGCGACGTTATATTTTAACGCAAATTATAATACGTGGGTTTGTTTGTTTGTTTGTTTGTTTGAAAAACGATCACAGGGCAGTTTACTCCTACACTTGAATATTTAAAGCACACAAAGGGAACTAAGACACTGTTGAAGAGTATAACATAAAAAAAATATTGAAATTGAAATGTGTTATCATTTGTAAACAGTTGTCTCGGCAACCATGAACAGACCACTCCTTTCACCGACAAGGTCATCTTGAGATCTTACTCGGAGCAATGTCTGATCTTCAATCATGTCCTATTTTGGAAGCCAACATTTAAAAAAAGGGTGTATTTGGGTATGGCATATGAAGTTTTGTTAGTTTTGATCATGTGATGAGTACCCTGACAACAATAATGACAATAGTTGTATATGAATACACAACATCCGGTGAATAACTTAAAAAAAAAAACTTGCCAGGTCGGTTGCTATGAATGCCCACTAATTTGTCAAGAATAAAACCAGTCAGTCATTTGCCTGCTAAAACGATATGTATGATTCTGATTTCGTGAGTTTTATGACAATTTTCAGCTTTTATACATATTAACCTACAATGAACTATACGTGGATTTCGTGGTTCACATGAAACGTGTATCGAAATTACTCTAATTATTAGAACTCAAATAAAATAGTACTTTCTTTTCAATAGTACTGTGCATTGTTTTGTTTCATAATATTCTAACGGAAGTCGCATAATCATAACTTATGAAACGTATGCGTAAAACGTATGGAATG